TAGATACGTCTATATAAAACATGTACCCGCTATAAGTATTAATAAAAAGCTCAGACCAAAGAGGTCACCTTAATACCAAAAAAAAAATAAAATAAAATAAAAAAAAACTTAAAAAACAATTGATATACTTGTTACAAAAGAAAATAAACCCTTTTGGTATAGCTTTAAGTAGTTAAATGAACAATTTATCTCCAACTAAAGTAATGTAACAGGTTGTACTTAGATACCATTAGGGTAACCAAGTGATGCTAAATTTAGATATTGAAAAATTTTATATAATTATATATGTATTATCTTAATAAAGTACTAGAGTAACTACTTAAGGTTATAAAATAAAAAAAATAAAAAAAAAACTTATAATTTCTATTGTTAATTTTTAATTTATTTTAAAAAAAAACTTCATTGATTTTAAGATTGATTTATTGGTCTTTCTGTATGTTTTATCAAATTTGATATATGATTTAAAGTAGAATTTTTATTTATATTCAATTAGCATGACCTTTTGCAGGTCAATAAAGACCCAATTACACAAATCTGCTAATATATATGTAATAGTCAACGAAACATTATTTGGATAATCAAGCTTAAAAAAAAGATGGTCCAGATTATCTTTTTTTTTTATTATAAAGTTGAGTTTATTCAGAGTTCAAATTACATTACTGCAGTCGAACCTCTCTACAGTCACGCCCTCGGTTCCGTGTAGAGTTCAAATTTCTTATGTTTTATATAAGTTCTAAAAATTAATGTGCTTTTAAAGAGGGTGCAACTGTATGAAGGGCAGACTGTACTACCGTAAAACTTTTAGTTCATGTTCAAAAAAAATCACATGTCCATGGTAATAATACTTAAAAATTTTTATTAAATTATACACAATTGACTTTTAAATACTTATATAAATAGGTCCGCAAATAACTTTTTTGTCCAAAAATCCATAAACTGTATTTTCTCTAGACGATCAAAATAGTCCCTAATAGATGTGCCCAAGATTTCGTAATGATGGTACTTTAATGTTTAATAATTAAAAAATCTTTTATAATGATGATTAATTTATCTTCATCTAATTTTTTTCTTTATCTCCTTCCTCCTCCGCCTCTTTTACCATTGTTTTTATTCAGTATCTCAATGGCCTTTCGTAGATTTCCATGTACTTCTTTTAATACTTTATTGACCTCTTCATAGTCAAATCCACATCCCTGTAACCATTTTGCCGCAAGCCTTAATTTTTCTTTGTTGACCGTATCTTTCCATTCATTCATCACTTTTTCCTTAGCATCTGAATGTTTATCTTTAATTATAGCTTTTATTGCCAATTTAAAAGATGAGCTAATTGGTCTATGGTCCGACACTTTACACTCATATCTATGATAATGTTCTTGTTTTATCCTTGGTCCTCGATATAATATTCTATCACACCAAGCTGGTATACGCAATTTTTCTGATGTATCATACAGATCTTCACCTGGATTATATTTATATGTTGGTGCAAATCTTGGTTCGCTTTCTAAATAAGATCGTAATCGGAATGTTGGATTAGTTTTTTGCTGTTTGACCAATTGATCATGTTCCAATAGGAAATCATAATCTTCTTTTTTAATCGCCGCAAGAACTTCATCACGTTGCAATTCGATTCGATAATTAAGATCTCCACTTAAAAAACAAATTTCATGATCAAAGACCATAGTACCATCACCTCCGTGTGCAAACACATTCTCATAATCATCATACAATGATGATTCCCTGAAACAAACCGGAAATTCGGTCTTTTCTATTATACTAGCTATATCAGTGTTTCGAGCCGTAATTTCTTTTTGTCCTGCTGCTAAATGACAATTCACAAAACACAATGATGAATCATCATATATAAAACGTGTCGCTATTGATCCCTATGTGGTATTACAAAATTTGCAAGAACCTTATCAACAATAATTCTAAATGAATTTGGATAAAAATACCAAATGCATTATTATATACCTTATTTCCATTTAAACCTTTTAGCCCGGTTTTTTGCATCACTGTGTGAACATCCCTTATCCTTTCTCTCTCGGTTTTCTTGATAAAAAAACATGAAAATAATCCGAAAAGATTTCCTGTACTAAAAACTTCATATTTATCGCCATCTGATGCATGTTCAACCATCTTCATAAGCTTATCACGCCATTCTTGTGATCGTTTTTCAAGATTCTCCTCTTGCGCTTTAAGTTTCTTTTTAGACGTAAACATAATAGTTTCTAAAAATTATAACTTAAAATAAATAGGATAATTATTATAATGCAATATAAACTGATTAAATAATACACACTTGCATTCATTTTTTTTGATTTGAGATCAAAAATTTCTTGAAACCCGATAAAAATAATGTCGGGTGACTTTGTACTTGTGAGCCATAACCTCATAAATTTAATACCATCAGAAGATTTATCCAAATCAGAAGGTTTACAAGCACCAATATTCCATGAACAGATCAAAATTTTGATGTCCCTATATTCACAATAAGTTCTCTCCCGCAAATTCATTTTATTAGCTTATAAAAAGTAAATAATATGTTAATTTTAGATTTTATATATTTGATTCGATAATTAAATCCTTACCAATCCAATCTTGTTCCATCAACCCATCCCAAATCATAATTGTCCCTTCAGAACCACAGCTTGCAACCTGTAATCGGCCAACTCTCCATAATCCTTCTTCATCCAACTGCATATCAATAATTGGTGATTCGTGGGCTTTCCAATCTTTTATGGTGATCCATGGCCTTTTTGTGACATTGTATATATATATCATGCCAGTCTTAAAGCCAACCCAAAGATAGTCGTTAACACCAAGTATAGACGTTATACTATAACCCGACACATGAATTAATGCTACCCGTTTATATGATTCGGCATTCCATACTGTGATTCTACCATCTTCGTGTCCGACATAAACAAGTGAAGAATTATTGGTTTGTGTCATGCATGTTATATTCCCAATGTTCGTTCCGATATCAATCTTCTTAACAATTGTATCGCGTCTATTAAGAGGATTAAAAATTTCAATTTTTTTTTCTGCAGCTGTCCAAAGATAATCATCGACAATAATTGCACAAGTTTGATTGGATGCAATACGAAATGGTTCCGGTGTTGATTTAAGTGAAATGACTCCATTATTATCTTCTGACCATATTAATAATTTTCCACTGTCCAGAGTCCATAATTGAGTATGTGACTGGGTTTCATAACGTAATATAAAATTTATAGAACTACTATGAGCTTTTCGGTTTATTTCAAAATATTTATCTTCGCTACGAATATCAATCGCAAACAAATGTCCATCGTTACCACCACACCATATATAACGTCCAACATCTTCTATACGATGTGCTGGACGCCAACACAAACATGTCACTTTTGAATCGTCATGAGAAATTGTGTTTGTATTTTCTCCATCAAGAATTGTCCACACACGAGTATGACCAGAATCTGTGATTACAACATCACCTCCGATTGCAACTGCACGTGTAGAAGCCTTACTGGAAATCCCTCTAATTCCCTTATAACTAGGTGGTCTACGATTAACATTAGATACATCAGGTCTTTCATCGTCAGATTGAGCAGAATCAACAAGATTTGAATCTGAATCTGATCGTGGAATTTTCCTTGGTGACTTGCGGCGAGCTCTATTGTTATTATCATCGTCGTCAGCGGCCACACGATGTGTTAACACTGGACGATTAGGAGGAAGTGGTGGTGGTGATGGTTTATTAGCTTTTGGAGGTCTAGAAGGTAATGGTGGTACATATCCAGGATTATCATCATCTGTGTATCGCATATTCTTTGAATTACTAGTTAAAGATGGTGTATTACTAGTCCTCACGGGCTTGCGTGGTGGCTTGTTAGGCATTACCTTAGTTGTGTGGGCATGTCGATATCCTGAGCTCTTTTCGGGAGGAGGTGATTCAGATGAAATTAACTCATTTGCGTATTCATTACCATCTGTAAAAGGATTAATTTCTTGTGAGTCATCAAATGGATTATCATCTAATAAAGAATTCGACGATTTTGAAAACGAATGAATGGGCTTTGTAGATGATCGTTTAAATCCATCTCTGTTCAATGGATCATCAGACTCTACGTCAGTACTATGCGCTGAAGATTCTCTTGACGATAACGCAACAGCTGGTCCTCTCTGAAATTGTCGTTTAGGTTTCTGATTCGCGGTTACCGTATTAGGAAGTGATGTATTACGGGAATATTGCCTATTATCCTCATTCACATTATGACTACTAACTGATCCTGAAGTTTGAGAATCTTGTTGTAGATTCAGCTTTTCAAATCTAGATTTCAACGAGCTAACAGATCTTACTTCGTCAAGCTTTTCCTGGTCAGTAAATGTACTACTTTCCATCTGTACTAGTAGGAAGCAAAACGAAGAAAAAAAGGTTCAACTCTTAAACAGTACACAATAATAGTTGTCTTCACTTATGTTTAAATATACTGTTGTTTATTGAAGGTGTTAGATCGAGAATGCTGTTAATCGTACATTTTATTGGCCTGGAAATACATATTTGTTTATTTGTTACATACTTGACATTATATTGGACGCATGACATGCCACTCAAAATTTTGCCACACATAGAAAAATATGTGCAGTAGATTGGTTCGAAAAATATTATTATTTATTATTTAAAATAAAAAGGTACAAAATTGGCAAATTACGATTCTATGACTAGTGATACGAAAAGTTGCCAAGCAATTAACACTAACCCTTGAAAAGAAACCCAATAACCTTAACCAGTGCTAGATAAAATGTCATGTTCCACACGGTTCAGGTCACGAAGCTTAGGTTTTCATTAAGCGCTTTAATCGAACTTTCTAATCTATTATTTTGTCTTTCCGTACACCCGAAAACAAAATCGTAAAAATTGACCGGAACTACAGTTAATGTGCGAGTTGGTAAATCTAACTAATCAACTTTTTCTATCATATGACTAAATTTGTTGGTTGGCCAATCAAACTAAAGAAGTCAACATGAACCAGCCCGAATAGATGGAATATCTCAGAATTTAACTAGTTGATGATTTAATCAACTAGTTGTTTTTGAATTTTTCAAAAAGGTTTATTTGTGTTATTGATTAACGTTAATTTGTAATTATAGGCAGTATCGGTATCGTCACTTCAGATACATCATATTTTATTTTTTTTAATATCAACAATGAGACCATGCTTTTAACTTTATTGAAATTCAATTGAAGTTTTTACAAAGAAAAGTTTGCTTTTAAATTACATATGAAGAATAAAGACTCAGACATATAATCTGTGACCTAAACCTATACATCATATTTTATTTTTTATTTATTTTTTTTTTTTTTTGATGTTAAGATATACATTATATTTTATAAAATAAATTAGAATTATATATGTTATCTCTTAATCTGTATTTAGGCAAATTTGTTTGGAAAATTTAAAACATTTAGTAAATCTCTGCATAGCATTAAATTGTACTAATTAAAAGCCCTCCTAATGCATAATGTTCCATAATCAGAAGAACCTGCACAATCATTTGATAATAAATTTTTTAGACAAATTTGCCTGAAATACAACACAGAATGATTTAAAAAGTTAATGAATGTCTGTGATCGACTGATTAACAGATTAAAATTAGTATTATCGTAATGCTTGCATGTATTCCTCTTTTAAAGACTGATAAATGCACAATAATTAAAAACATAAATTAGCACTATCACAGTACCTTTAGTATGTATGTACATACATATATACAGTAACAGTAAAGATCATTAATATTACACATATATTAAAAGTGGTAAAAAATTATATCTATTACAATTGAATCCAATATAAATAATTTAATTTGTGATTGATCACAGGCAAGAGAGATTCACTTTAGATTGGGCACTGTCTCTGCTAAAACATATAGTATATATGTACTTATTGTTCTTATTATTAAAAAATTATACATACTGTATTGTATGTATAGATACTATTTGAATTATAACTATTTTTTTTTTTTTTTTTGGTATTAAGGTGACCTCTTTGGTCTTTTGACTTTTATTAATCACTTATCAGTATTGTGGTTTAATGAATCACTACAGGAGAGCATACAATTGGCTACATGTGTAACTTTTCTATATTACCTATTTAAAGAGTCCACCTGAAGGTTCTCTACCAATTGCCGTACCTAACACCCCTGCTTGGGTGTTCTACTTTAAACCCTCTAAACCTATAACCTGTGTTAACATCACTGGTCATCACTGATGTACCAGATCATCATCCTCAACCTTAGAACTAATTTATCCTCAAGATAAACCTTCTAGAGCCTTCTGTACCCATTTTTACAACTGACCTAGGTATTGTTATGGCAGAACTAACACTTGCAGTCAGGGCTAACCATTAAACCGCTATGCCCTTATAGAGTTCACTTAGACCCCAACATCTACTTCACAGCATAACCTCAGTACTTTAGTATACCCCTGCCTTTTGTTCAGCCTTTTTACCAAACTTCCAATCCAGATAGCCTTGTAGGACTATGACCAGTCTATTAGTATATCAGGTCGGCCTGATATCCTTTTCTTCCGGTTCATTCCGGTGGCCTGGTTGGTGGTACCCCTGAGACCCCAACTCAGAGGTTCTTGCCCGTCCGGCTACTATGACCAGGTACTACGACCTTGGTATCCATTTCCCTAGGCTAGCCTTTACAGTAGAGCCGTCGAAGATCCAACTACCTCTCTATTCAGGTCTTCCCAAATGGACTTCTTGTTACCTAATTTCAACAGATTTACATAGTCACAAGGACTTATCTAGTGTTTGCACTGCCCGATTTGTCAGTTTGCATTTCTCCGTGTAACTTCAACATTGCACGGATGCCTCATAACCTGCCAGTCATGCTGGTGCGACCACCATTATAGGTATCCTAACCCAATCATTAGTAACAGTTATCATAATACAAATATTATATAGGTGATTATCCAAATTTTCACCGTCAATGAGATTTGAACACCCAATCTCCCATTTGGAGGGTTGACAACCTGACCACTTTACTAGGTCGCCACACCCATTATAACTATTTTTTTGATTCTTTATTACATGTAAAGTAATATATAAATATTTAAATGCATTTAAAGCTACTCTAAATTAAAAAATAATAAATAATCATCTTGTAAAATATAAATAAACTAAAGTAAACAATTGTGAAATTGTTATATGTGCCTTAAGATAGTTGACAAACTATTATTTTGCTCATATCTGTTATTTTTTTTCACTGTTTTTTGTTCTTTATTATATAATAAAACACTAGTTAGAACAAAATACAGTAATCTTATATTTATCATTTAATGTCTTATATACAAACACACAAATCTGACTATCTAACAATCTGACAATTTGTCTTATTAGCAACCTATATTAATTACATTCTTTTATCATTTTAAAAAAAATAAAAAATTTATTTACCATATGTTTTTTTGTTAAAAAAAGTTTACAACAGCATCATTTTTATTTTTTTTTTTTATTTTATTAAAGAAAAAAGAAATTTGTTAAATCACTTTAGCAATACATTTTTTGTCATCAAAAAAAAATAAATATAATAAAAAAATAAATAAATAAATAAATAAAATAAATAAACCTTCAATTATGTCTCTTGACAATACAACTTCTAATAAAAATTCTGATTTGCAATATTTAATTACTTTTAAATATAACTATTATGATGAATTGATAATCAATCATGAACTAGTAAGAGCTACTGATAATGAAATAAATAAAGAACAAAAATATATAAAAAAATCAGACAAAGATACAAATATAAAAATAAGTACTAGAAGAAGTAAAGAAAGAGGTAAGGATAGAGAAAAAGGTAGAGGTAAAGGAAAAGAAAAGACCAAAGGAAGAGAAAGAGGTAAGAAAGAGAAAGAAATAAAGAACAAAGTAATTATTTAAATTTAGAATTATTATCATTAGAATCAACCACTTTTTTTTTTTTGCTAAGGCCATACTTGTGGTGATACTTTATTGATTTTATATTAGATTAGTTATTACAACTATTTTTACAGAGATGAGAGTACAGCTAGTCACACATGCAACTTTTGGTTGCCTATTTAAGTAGTCCACCCTAAGGTTCTATACTAGATGCTGTATCTATAACCTACTAGGAGATTATCTATTTAAACCCTCTGATCATCTGCCCTGTCATATTGAAATCACCAACTAACCCCCTGTATATACCTACCCAGTATACCATCTGAGCAGTATCGTACCTACCCTTTTTGTACTGTTTCTCAGACCGTTACACATTTCAGAGTATGTCACCTGCCAGTAAGGCACAGAGGGCCCCTTGTTGTTAATTATCTACCCACTTTTAGAACACTAACACAGGCTACCCTTACAGAGTTCACCCAGACCCCAGTACTGACTTCACAGCATATCACTAGTACTTTTAGTATACTCCTGCTTTGAACCCATACTCCCAATCCAGATAGCCTGGTAGGACTATAAACTATCTTTGGTATATTGAGGCCAGCCTAATATCCTTTTCCTCCAGTCTGAAATCTGATAGCCTGGTTGGTAGTACCCCTCACCCGAGTTTTTTGCCTGCCCGAATCCTTCACATTGGTATCCATTTACTAGGTCTAGCCTTTACAGTAGTACCGTTGAAGATCTGTGTTACCTCTCTGCTTAGAATTTCCAAGTGGGCTCTGGCTTCCCAGTTCTATGGATTTACATGGACCGAGGACTTATTTTAGGTTTGCACTGCCTGGTACCAGTTTGCATTCCTCTGTGTAACAGGTTACACAGATGCCCCAGACCTGCCAGTTATGCTGGTGCGACCATAGTTACAGGTATCCTATCCCAACTGATCGACAGAATGCCGTCGCTGTAATATTATCTATATATTACATAGGTGATTATCCAAATTTCACCGTCAGTAGGTTTTGAACTCACAACCTACCACTTGGAGATATGACAACTTATCCACTTCACTAAGTCACCACATTTTTGAGATATTTAAAATAATTAATATAGTAGATGATATCCTAATTTTTAGTTTGCATAGGTTTGAAAATGATAGATGGTTCAAGATTTTTAATAGCAGTTGTATTATTAATATAGATATTTAAAGAAGTATTAGATAAAGTTGCAAATAGAAGATAAAGAACTGCTTTAAGTTCAGTACAAGTTAAGTCAAAATAAGATTGTATAGTTGTATTAAATTTTATTAATGTGGCATATTTGCAAATCTATTCTATACCAGATTTTACACTGGAGTTTGAAGATTTTTAATTGATCTATTAGTATAAAAATGTAGTTTATTTGTATTAAGTTGGGAAATAAGGTAGTTAAGATCAGTTAATTGTTTTTGATATATTGATAAATGAATAAATTGCTAGATAAGTGAGCATCATAGGATGATAAAATTAGTTGTAGTTGTAATAAAGAAGATGATTAAAAAAAAAGTAAAATTATATATATTAATTAAAGCTAAAAATTTTCTAAAATTAATTTAAATAATTGTTTGATCATTTGATTTGTTGATTAGATTATAAAGTAAATAGAAAGAATAGTAGTTTGGTATAGAATAATCAGAAAATCTACATTTTATCTTTTTATATATTATTATTATAGTACTAACAATAAAAAAAAAATTATTATTGTGCAATTATTATATATAAATTTGGTTCAAAAAAATATTGAAACTATTGTAGCATAACTATACAGTATCTTATTGTTATACAAATTTTACTTTTATAATACTTATTATATAACATTTGTTAAATGTTTTATAAGCAGTTAAAACTAATATATATGAAGTTATAAGTATATATTAGCTAAGTATTACTGTAAAAATATTTTCTTAATACTGCATTCTAGATGCTTATTTGTTTTATTTGTTTTTTTTTATACTGAGATTGTATATTTTATTTTTTTTTTTAAACTTTTTAGATTAGGTTTTTGAATTCAAATTTTTATATATTTTTAGAAAATATTACTAAATAAGAGTAATAATATTCATTATACTAGTTATTGAATAAATTTATTATAATAAAAGACTTTTTCAATACTTTTATTTGAATATGCTAATTTTTTTATTTAGATTTTTTATTATATAATTTAATAACTTTAGGCAAATTAATTTAGAACTATTTTGTAAACCTTTATGACAATATTAGTTTTTTTTTTTTGTATTAAACTAACTTCTTTTGGAGCTAGAACTTTTTATTCAGTAGTAGAAAAGAGAGACTTACAGCTAAGGCCTCAAAGAAGTTTTCTTACATTAAAAAATACAACTAGTCACACATACACTTTTGGTATCTAAATAAGTAGTCCACCAATAGTTCTATACTAGCTGCCATACTTGTAACCCAACTAGGAGTGTTGCTTATTTAAACTTTCTGTACTGCAATCCTTACTGTATTACTAGATCATCTCCACTATATAAGTCAGTCAAGAAGATCTAGATGCTTACCTGTATTCTTAGGACCTCATATCTTATTTTATGCAGTGTATTCTTAGAAGCATTGTTACTAGAGCCTTTTGTGTTCCACATATAGCTAACCTAGTTTTATATAACACACTAAAGTTACCTAATACTTGCAGTCAGAGCTAACCTTAAACCCCTACATTACACTATTTCTATCCTTGTAAAGTTTATCCAAACTCCAGTACCAATCCTTTTAACATCTTCTTCATCATTTTTTATTAACTGTAACTCAGAACTGACAGACTTCCTAGATTTCTAATCCAAATGGCCTGATATAATATACCTTAGTATTCTTTTCCTCTGGTAATTCTGATGGCCTGATTGGTCATGTGCTCCTCTACACATCTTGTTATCTGGTTTATCTGCCTGTTCTTATGAAGGTGTTTCATGGGCTTTCATCAATTTGACAGCACTATCAAAAGTTTGTGCTATCTTTTACTTAAAAATTTCTAAGTAGAATTTCATCTTCTTGGTTTTTTATTCTTCTTCATCTGATAGTTTTATTATAAGTTTGCACTGAAGTTTTATGCAACACTGTTTATTAACATTTCTCTATATACATGTACTATGTAATATTACATTTCGCATAGATGCCCCAGCTCCAAATGATGAGTAGAACCTGACTTGATGTATCTGGATTATAGCTACATGAGACTAACTGATTAACAGAAGACAGTTTCTATAACACAGATTAATTTTCAAATTTTATTATATATAAGATTTAAACTATAGACCTGCCACTTGGAGGATAACAAACCAACTGCTACACTAGGATCACTATCTTCTATAACAATATTAGTTACTTAATAGCAATCTAATAGATTATTTATAAAGTTTTTAAGGATTTATTTTTAAAAATTTTACTAAAATAAATTTTTTTTTTTTTAAATATTAATGATGAGGTTATGCCTTTAACTTTATTAAAATTTAATTGAAGTTTTTACAAAGAAAAGCTTGCTTTTAAATTACATATGAAGAATAAAGACTCAGACATATAATCTGTGACCTAAATCTATAAGAGTAGCCAAGGCTTATCTAGATTTGGGTGTTAGTAATAATATATGAGAGAGGGTATAATATTTAATCCATTGAATAGTCCAAAGGTTAATTTTAGTAATAATTTATGGTATTGAAATAGGAGGTAATGGTAAACTAGAAAAAGAATTATGAGTTGAGTTTGTAGAAGATGTAATAGAAGACTGTGCTGAACGTGAGATACAATATGGAATCCATAATTGTTTATATATTTGCTGGTTTAAATAAAGAAGAAATTTAATAGAAAAAGAAATAGCTATATGGTAAGAAATAGAAGTATTATGAATAGTAGAAATAAGGTCAATAGGGACTAAGCCAAATAAGGTAGAAATAAGAGATGGTATATAAGAAAAGTTGTATAATTTAAAACTGCTTAACTACAAACTTTAAAATTGTACAGCTTATTAAACATATCAGTTAGACATTCTCAATTAATCCAACTTATAACATTCCTTACACTTTACATGATGGAACTATCTTTCTGGAATCTCTTCTTTTCTCTTATCCTAAATACCCTGTTTTCAAAAAACAACTTAAATACCATAAACTTCTCTTTCTTGACCAACTTTCTATCTATGACAATTTATATTTATTATATTGGCATCATATTTCTCCTAGACTAAACAAACTCCCTAAAGATGTTATACCTCAATGGTTTACTATTCTTGAGAATATTATTACTAATCATTCCTATCAATATATATTATATGATCATTTTAACTTACCTTAATCAAACTATTTTTCTTATACTACTGGCCACTTCAACTCTAATAATAAGTCCTGGTTACTTACTGTTTTCGACAATCAAATCATTGTCGACAAGGCCAGAAGGCATAACAGCCCTATAGGCCTTACTCTCATCACTCACTGGCACTGTTTATTCCAGTCTTAGTTTACTAATTCTTATCTTACTTCTCCTTCTACTACTACTATATGCCTAGGATGTCATCTTAATTCTAATACAATCACTAACAAATGCACTATTTTTATTCTTACAAATTTGGCTACTAAATTACTTTGTCATATTAACCTTGACAAAACTCTTAACCTACATGCCAACTTCCTTGATATTGCATACTCTGTAGCTATCTAACATTGTTTACATATCTCATCACCTCCTTCATTAACAATCAATCCATAACAACTACTTTGCATCTTTCAATTATGCCAACTTACTGACAATTTACAGTCTATTGCCAATTCTAATCATAATCTAACTACTATCTCATTTTATACTGATGGTTCTGTTATTGAG